TCATGTGAAAACAGCTTTATCCAGAATCAGATTGATCAAAGTGAACTCGACCAACACGGTGGATATATATATATATTATGCATCGCATATACCATGTTTGTTTTGATTGGCTGCTGGGCTATATGTACGGCTTGAACTACAAAAAAACAAAAAACCCGCAAAACCATTGAAATAACGTATTGTTAAAATTTGAATGCCCTAGGCCTAGCACTATTGCCACTAAGCTGAACGCAAAGATGCGTAAAATATTGACAAGGGTGCATATATTAAATATTGACTTATTAAGAAATTAAAATATCTTCGTAAAGCGCACAATTTTCTGCTCTTGGGAATTTAAAACAGCTTCTTAAACGGTTTCTTTATGCATAAAATTTACTAACGTCAAGCTTTGATGCACGTTTGGGTTCAGCAGAGTGCGGATGCATTCAAATTCTAATAATACGTTATTTCAATAGTTTTCGGTTTTTTTGGAAACCCTGTACAGTACAAGCAGCATTAAAATGAAGTAAAACTCATAATTGATCACTTATATTAATTATAATTATCGTTAATTTGAATTTGAAAGGTTATACGTTTTTTGATACACACTGTATATACGGAAATTACTAGTTTCAAGTTTTCAAGTTTTTTAATTTGCTCAATAATTTTACATGGAAAATAAATTACAAATACATACACAATTATAAAGGTCACATTTTTTTTTTAAGAAATTTAATAAATATATCGTAATTATAGTTTTAGAGCCTGAAAGCTAAATAAACTATGAAGTTTTCGAGTTAGCCTCCAGTTACTGTTAATATATTATTTAGAAGAAGAGGTAAGAAAATCCAAAAGAAAGAAAAATCACACTATTTAATATATTAGGTTCCACAAGGAAGATTTATCATTTATATTATTATTACACTTAGGTATATCATGAATAAGTAGAATCAATTATTTCTTGCAAGATATTGTTGTGTCAGTAAATAATGTTTCAACTTTTTGGAAAAGGAAAATATATTAAGATCCTTTAGCTGAGCAGGGATTTTTTTCCAGAGATCAATTACTATGAAAGAGATCATCTGTTTTCTGGTATTTGATTTCACACGTGGTTTATACAGATTTTGTTTAGACGCATATCTAGTATTGTAATTGTGAATATTGCTTGCGTATTGAAAAAATGCATTAAATAAATTTGGCAAAAGGCCTTTATGCCATAGATGAATAAATTTAAGGGCATGTAGGGAGTAGACATTATTTACTGTTAAAATATCTAGAAGATTTAGCAAGGGGAGAGCGCTTTCAGTGTGTTTTCCATAATTCACTGCATTAAAGATTATTCTTACAACTTTATTTTGTTTTATTTGTACTTTGTTAATATGACATTTATATGCGCTTCCCCAAGCTAAAATTGAATACGATATAAAAGGGTATATAAGATTGTAATATAGTTGTCGGAGCTGTTTAATGGAAAGATAGTGCCTCAATTTGGAGAGAATTCCAATGTTTCAAGATATTCGTGAACAAATGTATGAAACGTGATATTTCCATGATAGCGAAGTATCAATCATAACCCCTAAGTATTTGATATGATCTTTCCTGTCCAATGAGTGGCATGATCCTTCCTTTGTCTTAATGTGTATATCAATGCTCATGTCTTTTTTCTTTGGTGACTTAATTATCATAAAATTCGTTTTGGACATGTTTATTGATAGTTTATTGACGTCACACCATTCTTTGATCTTTTCTAATTCCGAATTCATAAGGATTTCTAGTGATTTTAAGTCACTTGCAGAAGCAAAGACATTTGTATCATCCGCAAATATCTTAAATTCCAGTTTTTCAGAACAATTTGGTAAGTCATTTATGTAAATTAAAAATAGTAGTGGTCCCAATGTGCTACCTTGAGGGATTCCACAAATCATTGTTTGCTTTGGAGATTCATGTTCCCCTAGTTTTACATATTGTTGGCGATTTAATTTGAAAGATAACTATTGAACAATTGCAAAGGAAGTCCCCGAATTCCATATGATTCTAACTTAGTGATGAGTATCTCATGATTTACAGTGTCAAAAGCTTTGGAAAAATCAAGAAACACGGCTCCACAAATATACAATTTATTGTCTATGGCTTTTCTAAGGTTTTCGGTAATTTCGGTTATTGCTTGGGCAGTAGAACGACCTTTCCGAAAACCAAATTGAAATTGAAAAAGAATATCTTTCTTTTCAATATATCGGATAAGTTGTTTATATATTAATTTTTCAAATATTTGTGCTATAGTCGATAGCGTTGATATTGGACGAAAATTTGCAGGGTCAGTGATCTCTCCGCCTTTATCAACAGGTGTTACTTTAGATATTTTTAAAATATCAGGGACAATACCTTGAAGCAAGCATTGGTTAAATATTGTCGTCAGTGTTTCGCTAATATATTCGCATGCCAATTTTATACATTTTTGAGGTATTCCAATTGACGATTTATTAAGCTTTAATCCCATAATAGCTTCATGCACTTCATGTGTATAAATAGCGCGAAACCAGAAACTATCTTGAAAAGTTCGATTAATGTAATTTCTAGGATTAATAGGACTTTTTGGGAGTTTCTCAGCTAGATCATGGCCGATATTTATATAATGAGTATTTAATTGGTGAGCGATATTTGCTTTATCCGTATAAGACTTGTTCTTATATAATAATTTAGTTATTGTTTGCGAACTTGTTTTTTTCTTGTTAATTATCATGCCAATCAACTTCCATGTTGCCTTTAAATTTTGACTGTTTATGTTGAATTGCGTTGCATAATAATTTTTTTTAGCTACTTCTTTAATCTTATTTAGTGTATTATTGTATTTTTTGTATTGTTTTATTTTTTCCGGATCATGACTTAGAAAATGGGTTTTAAAGAGTCTTTGTTTTCTTTTAATTGATTTAAGGATAGCGTTTGATATCCATGGTTTGTTTAATTGTTTCTTTTTTTTATTAGATACTTTACGAAACGGTGCATGTTTGTCAGATATTCCCTGAAGTGTTTTTATTATGTCATGCATGCTTTTGTTGACATCACTTTTAATAAAGATATTAAAATTTATATTTCTGATATCATTTAAGAATAGATCACTATCAAAATTTTTGAAATCTCGATAAAAATGGGTATCCTTGTTGATAGGAAGTTTATGAGAAATTGTGCAAAACACAGGGAGGTGGTCTGAAATATCTGCTAAGCATATTCCGGCTATCAGAACCTTTTGAGGCGTATTTGTATAGATATGGTCTATAAGGGTAGAGGTATGGTGCGTGATACGGGTAGCCTTGGTAATTAAAGGCATAAGTCCTTGGTCAAGCAGCATATCAAGGTATTCAGATGTTTGGTTGTCACTATTGTATTTTAAAAAATCTATATTTATGTCCCCTAATATGATTACTTCTCGACCCTTATTGTTTAATTTAATCATCGTGTCTTTGAGCATATCCGAAAATTGAGCACGATCATGAGAAGGGTGTGGCGATAAATGCAACCGATTACAATATTTTTTTCCCTTTTGTGGGTGATTTCAATCCAACAAGATTCAACGCCATCAGCTATTAACTGTAAGTCACATCGTCTATTGAATTCTAGTTTATTAGCAATGTAAAATCCAACTCCCCCAGCGGACGTTTTGGAATTTGTATTTATAAATACATATCCAGGTATGCTAATGTTGTTTACACTGTTTTCTGTTAGTTTTGTTTCTGAAATAGCGATTATATCTGGAACTTCTTTAACGAAATAAAGTAGATCTTTTAGCAAAGGAAAATTTTTTGAGAGGCTACGCATGTTGAAATGCGCCATTGAAAACCCATGTTGTTTTTTTGCTTTATCAAAGAGATTTCCAGTTTGCTTAATAGAATGATATTTTGATTCGATATAGTTTTCATGTAAATTATTACGAAAATCGTCTTTTCTATCCAGACTTTCGATTATATCTTTGAAAAGATCTTTGGATTCAAGAAGGGGACTTATAGAATATACTCAAGCCCCTGTTGTCCTAAGAAGGTCTTCAGTATTTAGATCATAGAATGGTAATTCATCAAGGAAATTTTGGTCTAAAGCCATATCTAAATTGTACTAGATTTACAATTGAATTAGTCTGTTAAATGTATGCATACATCTATATATATATATATATATACATAATACCTCAAGCCTAACGGCAATGCCTATTTTGAAAGTTCACCAGGTCTTCTTCGGTATCGATGATATTTACGGCATCTTCTGCATTTTCCCCCTCCTTGATGTAGATTCTAGCATTGTTTCTCCATATGTACTTCCATTTCATACGTTTTCTGAGCTTGTTAACATTAGCAAAGAGCCTTTTCTTGTACGGTGTAAGCGATTCAGAGACATAAATATTGTCGGTGGACTGAAGTTGCAAATCTGGAAGGTCTTTGACTTTCTTTTTGGCTAATTTCCTACGATTTGAGTAGAATTTATTCCTGACTTCCCTTCGCGTAAATTTCACTATGACCTTAGGTGGAGCATCCCGATTATAAGATGGTAATGTCAATTTGAGAGAAGGGGGGGGGGGGGCGATACTTTGAGGCTACAGTATCTTCACTCCCGTCTGGGCATCTTACATGCGCGTACTGAGAATTCGTATCTAAAGTAAGTGTCGAGAATTGACAGTACTTTGAACATAGATATCTTGCACGCATTCTAATATAAACAGTTCATTATTAATATCTTATATCGAACACGGTTAGTTAATTGAACTAGGATAGAATTACACTTGCACTAGGATAACTGGGACATTCAGGATAATTTGATAATCACCTTTTTGTTGTATATAGTTTTTCGCACTGGCTTTTGAGCTTGTGTTAGTGTAAATAATACATATTCAAACTATGGTGTAGATCGTCCTTGATTCTATCGAAAGAACCTACGCTACATTAGATCTCGTTATCGTCGCAGACAAGTTAACACAACGCAAGACAACACTATAGCTTATTTCGAGTGACGAACGAGACATTGGTGCCGTGACCAGGATGGACGGTCTAAAACGCGCAAGGATAAAACGTGGCGCTCAACGTGCACAAGCAACTAAAATTTGGAACGAAGCTGAACTACTCATAAACGGTGAAACGAACGAAGTTAATATTGAGAAACTACGGGTCATTCTGGCAACGTACGACGCGAAAATCGAATTACTTCGAAAGTTGGATGAAACTGTATCAGATCTAATCGAAGACGAAAAGGGCTTAGAGACGGAGATCGTTGAAGCCGACGACTATTTAACGGAACTAACTAAAAAGAGGTACACCATAGAATTCTTTATCAATCAAAGTACAATCCATAGTAATTCGTTAGCTAGCCCTATGGCTACCACAACACCACAAAACGGACACGTTTTTCCTACTCAAAGTACGCCGCCACAATCGCACAATACAAATAGTCATAGATTACCAAAGTTAGCACTGCCAGTATTTAGCGGCAACATGTTAAAATGGCAAACCTTTTGGGACTCTTATAAGGTCGCTATACATGAAAACTCCAGCCTATTAAGCGACATACAAAAAATTACATATCTCAAAGCTCAAGTGTCAGGTGAAGCCGCGCAATCAATCGAAGGTTTACCGCTTACAGAGTCAAACTACGCGCAATGTATTGCAATTTTGGAACAGAGATTTGGTCAACCCCTCAAGATAACTAACGCACACATGCAAGCCTTGTTAGATCTACCATGCCCTTCAAATTCAGTGTCTACCTTGCGCCAATTTTACGATAGCATGGAAAATCATATTCGAGGTCTCGAGGCGTTTAGGAAAGAAACAAGACACCTACGGTGACCTTTTAATCCCCATTGTTTTGGGTAAACTTCCCACTACAATCAAGCACAACTTAATTCGAGAGAACGGTTCAACTAAATGGTCAGTAGAACAATTACGCAAATCAATTTTGAAAGAAATTCAAATACTAGAAGCTGGGGGAAAAAACAGACTCTTTCAGTCAAATTAGTCAATTAGGCAAACCTGTCAACACTACTGACAAACGCATCCGGAAAGTTTGGAAACCATGCCAACGTAAAAGAATTTTACGCACCCAAAAATCGCCCTACAAACAAGAGTTTATGCATTTTCTGTTCGGGCCATCATCGCCCTAACGAGTGTACTGTAGTAAAGGATCCCACAGCCCGTAAGAATATTGTTTTCCAAGCGAAGTTATGTTTTAGCTGTTTGAACAATCACCGCGTATCTGATTGTAACTCGAGAAATCGCTGTCGAGGGTGTCACAAGAAACACCACACGAGTCTTTGTAATGAAACGAACAAAGATGCAACAAAAAATACCAGGAAAAATCATCCGCCGAATAACGACGCACCGAATGTTACGACGCAAGTTCAAAACGCGAAAACCAATCCACCCGTCGACAAAACCCCAGACCGTGTCCACACGTCTCTGTCAGTCAACGACTACTATGGGAGACAAACACTCCTCAAAACTGCCATTAATACGATAGCAATACAGAACAAAATAGCGACAGCACACATTCTCTTTGATGAAGGTGCTCAACGTTCCTTTATCACTCAAAGTTTAGCTGACGAACTCGAACTTACGCCTAAAGGAAGTGAAACCTTAAATCTATCAGTCTTTGGCTGGTCTTCGACTTCTATCAAACAAGTAGACATGGCTACGATTAATCTCAACACCGAAGATGGCGAAAAAATTCCTTTACAGGTATTGATAATTCCCACAATCGCAGTTCCGCAGAAAAGTTTCCCCACCGCCGAAATTCGAAACCTCCCACCCCTCAACGGCTTGAAACTTGCACACCCTATGACGACTGATGATCATTTCCACATATCCCTCTTGATTGGCGCGGACCACTACTGGGACGTTGTCGAAGACGAAATCGTTAGGGGACCGGGCCCCACTGCAGCGAAACTAAAATCGGTTACTTGCTTTCTGGACCAACAACTGGGCCAGCTGTTGCGACAACATCACTCAATGCAACCATCTTGAAAGTCATTGTTTCAAAGGAACACGAAAGTAAAGCTTTAGAACGATTTTGGAATCTAGAATCTATTGGGATTCTTCCAGACGAAATAACAACCCACGAAGACAAGTTTGTTAAGGAATATCAGGATTCTTCAATACGACTCGTGAATGGCCGATACTGTGCAAAGTTACCATGGAAACCTAACCATGACCCCCTTCCCACCAACGAAGCAGTAGCGCGAGGAAGAACCCGTTCCACTGTAAGGAGATTAGCCAAAGACCCCAAGACATTGCAAACCTACAGTGAACTTATTAACGAACAGTTAAAACGAGGTTTTATTGAAAGAGTTACAAATCCAGAAACATCAAATGGTTATTGCCACTACATCCCACATCACGCTGTATTAAAAGATTCCCCTACGACACCTATTCGTATTGTGTACGACTGCAGTTGCAGCCCAAATGCCGACCAAGCAAGCCTGAACTCATGCCTTTCCACTGGCCCTGACATCCTTAATGATATGACCGCCATACTCGTCCGTTTTCGATGCTATCGGTATGCTTTAACCGCAGACATAGAAAAGGCCTTCCTGAACATCTCTCTAAATGAAGGAGATAGAGATGCAACAAGATTTTTTTGGCTATCCGACCCAACCAACCCCGAAAGCAGCTTTGACGTATATCGGTTCAAATCTATCTTGTTTGGTGCATCGTGTTCCCCGTTTATCTTGAATGCAACGATCAAGAAGCACCTTGACAGCTACAACGATCCAATCGCACAACGAATAAAAGCCGACATCTACGTCGACAACTTGGCTTCTGGCACAGATAACGAAGACGAAGCCGCGATCTACTTCAAACACACCAGATCCGTAATGTCTTCTGCCAACTTCAATTTACGTGAATGGAACTCGAACAGTTCAAAGATTTGTGCACTCGCCAATGAAGAATATGCTCAAGACGACAACACCGAAGCAAAACTGCTTGGTCTTCGCTGGAACAGTAAAGTCGATACGCTGAAGCTTCAAGAAAAATGTCCAGTTACTGATCCCAATGAAAATGTGGTGTCCATAACTAAGCGAGATGTTTTACGAGCGTCTTCTAAGATATATGATCCCCTCGGTCTCATCACTCCTATCACTATTCGTGCCAAGATCTTCCTTCAAGAGCTCTGGGAACTGAAATACGCTTGGGATGAACCGCTACCAAAACCACTGATTGAAAAATGGGTCAAACTTTCCAGCGACCTAGAAGCTGCAACTCAGACCGAAGTTCAACGCAGATACTTTCCGCTGTTATCTTCATGGCCATCAAACGTGGTACTTCACATCTTTGTCGATGCAAGCACCAAAGCTTATGGGACAGTCGCTTATGTCACTTCCAATTCACATACCTCCATGGTTATGTCAAAGTCTCGTGTAGCTCCACTGAAAAAACTGACCCTTCCGCAGCTTGAATTGATGGCAGCTGTTACTGGTGCAAGACTTGCTTCATACTTGTCCAATCATCTGACGGTTACCAAAATCGTGTTCTGGTCCGACAGTCAAATCGTTATCTACTGGCTTTCCTCCCAAAAAGAACTGAAGTGCTTTATTCAGAACCGAGTTAGAGAAATTCACCAAGCCACCAACAATGCCACCTGGAACTACTGTCCAACTTCTGACAATCCAGCAGATCTCCTAACACGAGGAATCTCGACAGACGACCTTTCCAAGTCTAATTTGTGGACGCATGGCCCACCTTGGCTAACCAACCACGACCACTGGCCAGAATGGAAACCTACTACAACGTTCTTCTGCAGTTCTGCCTCGACGAAGATCAAGAAACGAGCAAAGTCACTGCCGAAGTCACCGACACATCTACAAACGCCAGCATAACCCAGATTATTCCACCTACCAAATCCAGTGACCTTCAACGACTACTGCGAACTACAGCATGGGTACTTCGCTTCGTTAATACCCTGCAAAAGGGCAACGTATGTAAGGGAAAACCACTAAAGGTCCACGAAGTTGAAAACGCGAGAAATGTTTGGATACGGGAAATCCAAAACGACGCCTACGGTAACGAACTTGCGAACATACAAAAGCCGAAAACCTCTCGTCTACCCCTTGTACGTCAACTTCGCCTGTTTACTCTGGAAGACAACATCATTCGTTGTGGTGGCAGAATTCACAATGCACCAGTGGAACATTCAGCAAAGTTTCCCATACTCTTACCCCCAAACCACCATTTCACCTTGCTGGTTGTCAACGACGCACACGAGAAACTACAACACGCTGGATTAAACCAAACCCTGACACAAATACGCCAGAAGTATTGGATTCCAACAGCTCGCCAGTACATCAAGAAAATACTTCGCAAATGTGTAACGTGTCGAAAGGTCTTCGGAACACCATACAATGCCCCTGACCCACCTCCACTTCCATTCTATAGAATGACTGACTCCCACCCATTTACCGTCACCGGTGTAGACTTCACCGGGGCCATCTACGTCAAAACGCCACGTGGACAAGAAAAGCTCTACATCTGCTTGTTCACCTGTGCAAACACACGCGCAGTCCACCTCGAAGTAGTCACAAATTTAACTGTTCCGACCTTCATGTCTGCCTTTCGAAGATTCGCAAGCCGCAAGTCCTTACCAAAAATTATGGTGTCAGACAATGCATCAACGTACCAATCTGCCGCGGAAGAGTTGACCCTACTATTCAATTCAACAGAGTTGGAAACCAATCTCAGTAAACGAGGAATCCAGTGGAAATTTATCCCAAAACGAGCACCATGGTACGGTGGTTTCTGGGAAAGATTAATTGGTCTGACAAAAAACTCCTTGAAAAAGGTTCTCGGAAAGGCGAATGTCACTTTAGAAGAGCTCCAAACAATTTCCTCCGAAACGGAAGCAATCCTCAATGACCGCCCGTTAACCCACGTACCATCAGAACTAGACGACACAGAACCATTAACACCATCCCATTTACTGTATGGCCGGAGAATTACCACCTTACCCCACCCCCTTTACGAAGACGACGAGTTTCGTGATCTGTACAAAGATCCTGTTGTACAAAGTTTAATCAAGGGAAAAGACGGACTAGTACGGGCAGCAAATATCAAAACAAGAACATACGAAAAGACCAGTAACTAAACTTTACCCACTCGAAGTTAAATCCACAACAACAGAGAACCCAAAGATCACCATTGACGAAAACCTAGACGCAAAGAATCCCTCAACAAATCCTCACCCAGCTGACGTCATAGATCAAACGTCAAGCAGACCTGTTCGAGCAAAAGCAGGATTGGCAAAGGAGAAATTGAAACAGTGGACATCCATACTCTCGCGCCCCCCGGAGGATGTCGAGAATTGACAGTACATTGAACATTATAGATATCTTGCACGCATTCTAATATAAACAGTTCATTATTAATATCTTATATCGAACACGGTTAGTTAATTGAACTAGGATAGAATTACACTTGCACTAGGATAACTGGGACATTCAGGATAATTTGATAATCACATTTTTTGTTGTATATAGTTTTTCGCACTGGCTTTTGAGCTTGTGTTAGTGTAAATAATACATATTCAAACTATGGTGTAGATCGTCCTTGATTCTATCGAAAGAACCTACGCTACATTAGATCTCGTTATCGTCGTAGACAAGTTAACACAACGCAAGACAACACTATAGCTTATTTCGAGTGACGAACGAGACAGTAAGGCCTGGTTCCTAAAAGGTAATACTTCAAAACGCAACCTCAAACCCAGGGCTTTTTGCTTCCGCGGTTGGATGGTCAGCAAAAAAGGCCCTGGCTTCGGCTGGTCTGTTTTGCAACCTGATTGGTCAATAAATTTGAATGTAATTATTCAATATATGTGGGAATAATAATTATTTTGGTGGAACGAGAGTGGAGTGACAAATTTATAATTAGTTCTTGAAGGGCTAAAATATTGAGAAAATAAGATTTTTGCCATTTCGCTTGAGATACAGCATGAATTAGGGAAAGACAATACATCACAAAACAATTTGGTCCAAATTAAGTCTTTGTACATTTTGTATAAACGAGCATTTGCTTTGGTTCAATATACATTTCTCACATGCGTTTTTTTATATTTCTGATTTGCCACGCTATTACAATTAGGTAGATATAAATTAATGATTTACATGTATGAGTAGGCGGCGAGGAGGCATCTGGAAACCTTGAAGCTTGTAGATTGGATGTCTCCTCGCGGGACTTGTTAAAGTAAGTGATTTTTAGATTAGAAAATAATGTATTAATTTTTTTAGTGGTGGTGAAGAGATATCATTGTTATAATTGTTATTGTTTTAAAATTAGATTAAAAATAGAATTAACTTTCTAATAAGAAATTAAGCATTCTACTCCTGAAGCAACTGAACGTCTCAAATATCATTTGGCAGGGAATTGCAGATTTTGGGACCTTGAAAAAGAATTGTAAACGGCTTAGTATTTGTTTTACAAAGATGGGATCGATATAAATTTGAACTTCTAGTATTGTAGCTGTGTACTCGGTGACTGATAATGAATAAGTTGTGAAAAGACGGGGGAAGTAAACGGTGGTAATAGGAAAACATAAACTTGTCGACATGAAATGTATTAATTTTGTAGATATCAAGAATTTTTAACTGAGTAAACAATGGTGCAGATGCGCACGAAAATCTGAATTTGTCAATGCTCGAACAATTCGTTTTTGTAACAAATATATCCGTTTTAGGTTAGTTTAATAATTGGATGACCAAACTATATTACAATAGGTGAGGCGGGTATGAATAAACTAAAGTGTAATATAAGGATAGGTTGGCTTTGGTAGATAAATAGTAGCGACATCTAAAGATTATGCCGGTGGATTTTGAGACCTTTTAACAGATATGTGTTATTTCCAGGAAAGGTTTTCGTCCATAACAACTCCTAAAAGTTTAATACTTTGTTTTTGTACTAGCTGGGTTTTATCAAATATAATAGATGTATATATATATATTCTTATATATTTTTTATTTTTGCCTTTGAATAACATATAATTCGTTTTGTTGGTGTTTACCGATAGCTTATTAATTTTTAACCTTCATCCATAAGTCCATATATTCTAATTCTTCATTTATAACTCTAGCTAATTCATCTGGATCATTGTGCGAGTAAAAAATACTAGTATCATCTGTGAATAATAAAGATTCTGTTAAATGCAAAACACCCGGGAGGTCATTTATATAAAGGATAAAGAAGAAAAGAAGAGTGGTCCCAATATTGAGCCAGGCTCAATATTGGGACCACTCTTCTTTGTCCTTTATATAAATATATATTAAAATTCGTACCCAATTTGTGCAACACAGTAATGTTTTCTCCGTCGAAAAAGAAATCAGATGTGGCGTACCTCAAGGCTCAATGAGCCTTAAATGAATTAATGCAAGATTTGTTGAATGATTTTTACGGAAACCAAACTGATTATAACACAAAATTTCAAATCGTTCTGCAAATTCAAGTAATCGAGAATGCATAACTCTTTCATAAAATTTGGAAAAATTTGTTAGGAGTGAAATGGGTCTGTAATTTTTAAATATCATCATCTGCTTTAAAAATGGGGATTATATTGTCCATTTTTTATTTATCTGGAAAGACCCCTGTCTCTAACGATATGTTAATCAAATGCATTAATGGATCAATGATGAATTCAAAATAATTTTTGATAAGACGGATGGGAATATTATCAGGGGCGCCGGAAACAATCCGAAGCGTCGGGGGCAGCCATTCCAAAGTGGCACTTGCTTCTCAGCCATCATTTTTCTGGGCAGCAATATTTGTTAAAACTTTACTATATGCCGATATTCGATTGCTTCTGGCTATTATGGGTCGCAAACTTCGACATTAATTTGAACAATTTTATTCGTTGCACCGTGCTAAAAGCGTAAAATAAAATCAGTAAACGGATGTATGTTGCTTGATTTAGCATCTGGGGCGTAGGAACCGGCGGGCAAGGGGGCCAAGCCCCTAAAAAGTTACCTTTTTCCGCTGGCAAAGTGCCCTTTGCGCTCGTGAAAAAAAATTTTCAGATTGCATTTCTGACTCACGCAATATGATTGCATTTATTTTTCCTTCCCTTACCCCCCCTCCCCGTCGGCGACATTTACGGGAAACATTTTTGGGTGCCCTTTTCATTTCAAAAGTGCTCCTTGAAGCCGGTGCTCCCTGTAAATAGCATTAATTTTACTACAACTGGTTAAAAATTAAGCAAAGATTGCTTAAAGATATGCTGTACAGTTCGATCTGCGTATGGGCACAAGGGAGCCCTCTTTTGATTATACAAACAGTTTATTTAGGTTTGTATTTCATTTTATGTTCTTGCAAAGCTTGATTGTGGTGTCTTGATAATTTATTATACTCTAGAATCATGAAAATATAAATCGTTGTCGAATAAAATTTAAAAATTAAACGAGACTTACCTGTAAGTTTAAGTTTGATTGTAATTCTATGAGTTATCAGTAAGGAACTAGGGAGTCACATGAGATATGCATGCGCAGATCGAGTATTCAGCCTTTGAAGCAGTAGTGATTGCACCCAACAACGGTGGGCTTGCCATCTCTAGTTTGGCCACATAGTGTGTTGGGTGGGTGACTTCCTAGTTCTTTACTGATAACTCATAGAATTACAATCAAACTTCAACTTACAGGTAAGTCTCGTTTAATTTTTAAATTCTATTTCGTCATCAGTTACGTCACTAGGGAGTCACATGAGACTTCAAAGCCGTGCAATCACTGCAAATTCTGGAGCAAAGGTTTATTGTGTAACAGTACAAAACCAATGTGTACGTAGTAACATCTAGAAATTTGTGTGGTATATGCCACAGTCTAACAGTATGTTAGTTTAAACATTAACATAAACATAAACAGAGTTTAATAAAGTTTCACCAAAATTGGTGTCCTGGTCAATGATGGGCTTTTTGTAGAACTTTGCCTTTTGGTGAGCCATAAGAAGCTGTTTTGTGTTTTCCCTGATTCCCTTTGTGCATTGTATATATTCCAACAGGTGATGTGGGACACATAATTGTTTGTCCAGAGGAAAAGCCTTTTAAAGCAGTTTTAGTGGTTTGGAACCAGGTTTGGTGGTTTTCAGTAGTTTGTTAATGGGAAAAACATACTCATCATCACCAAGTTTCATGCTGTCAATACTTAATGATTGCAGAGTCTGGCATCGCTGCCCAGACAAAAGTGCCATTAGCATAACAAGCTTTAGAGTTAAGTCTTTCAGTAACAGTTCTTTGGCAATTTTAGACTGTTTAAGGTGGTTTAAGACAATGCTCATGTCCCATATATTTTGCTGGGTTGGTTGGGGAGGAATAATAGTTCCTTGGTTTTTGGTAAGACAATTGGCTGTTGGACAATCATGTTCATTGCTTTCGGCCACCATATCTGTGTTGGCCAATATGGGATCACTAGGATCCCTGAGGCTTGATCTTCTTGGACTTTCTGTAGCACTTGCATTATCACACTAAATGGTGGGAAAGCATAGAGAGCAAATTGAGTCCATGTCATGTGAAAGGCATTAATGGCAATTGCTTCAGGGTCTGGTCTAAATGCTACGATGGTTGATTCTGGAAACAAATAGATCAATGCCAGGGGTAAATCTGAGCATGTTACATGCCAAGGTAAGTATGTCTTTGTTAACTAAGACACCATTCAGTCCCCCAATTGAAAGACCGAGGCTGAAAGTCTGCTTGACAGTTTTCAACCCCTGGTATGTGTGCCATTGTTATCCATATTTTCTGGCTTTCACACCACTGCCAAATTTGTTTTACCAGGTGATTTAATCTAGCACTACATAGGCTGGTTCCCATTTCTCTAATGATGCTTTCAGCAGTGGTATTATCCACCATGATCATTGCATGGTTGCCACTTAGAATATGCTGAAAGGATTTAAGTGACAGAAAGACTGCTAGTGTTTCTAAGTAAATTATGTGTTCATATTAACTTCTTTCCTGGTGTTATAGTCACCTGCATAGTTTTGGAGTTCAGTGTGAAACCAAGATAGTCTAATTCATGAGTGGTGATGAAAACAGATTTGTCAGGGTGAGCTATAAACCCCAAGTTGTCTATGAGCTATGTTGTGTCAATCACATTGGCTGCACAGTCATCATAGTTTTGACCTGTTCGTAATGAGTCATCAATGTAAAGGGAGGATTGGTGACCCAATTTCCTGAGGTAACAAAGTACTGGCTTCATTAGTTTTGTGAACTTGCGCGGGCAACAGGCTACTAGGCCATTGGTGAAGCAAGTAAACTGGTACAGTGACCCATACCACTCAAATTTTAGATATTTGTGATGGAAGCTCGTTATTGGGACACATTATAGTACGCATCTTTCAGATCGATGATGCCATAAAACAGTTTGGTGTCAGCAGTCTAATGGCTGACTGAATTGACTCCATTTTGAAATGGTGGTATTGAACATGAGCATTTGGTCGCTTGAGGATCATTCTGTATGATCTATCTTTTTTCTCCTTTAGAAATATGGGGGAGATATACTCTCCCGGCTCATGTTGTGATTTTTCTATTATACCCTTGGTAAGGTTTGGTCGAGAATTCAATGTTCAGTCCACGAACCTAGAACCTCTGGGTCAGAGGTAATCTCATGCCATTTGGCAATGTGTTTTGATATTTGACCACTCTTGAAATGCACAATTTTGGTCTGAAAATATGATTTCATATTTGTATAAATGTTTAAGGCGAGGTTACTCATCTGTAAAGAGCTGAGAGGATTGATATTGCAACTGGGATTGCGTATTGTCGTAATCTGATCGTGGTCGCCATTGTTGTGTATTTTTGTATTGTTTTCTCGCATCACTGATTGTGTTGCTAACTTTATTTGTAGCTCGTATATTTGTTAGTTCACCCTGTAGGTCATCCCCAAATAGGAGGGATGTAACTGGAACATGCGAGGCGCAAAGGGTCGTGTATTCTTTGTTAAGATGCGGTTTTAGCGTTTCCCGCCTTCGTTGTGACATTTCACACGACGCGTGTCCCAGTAGAGCAAGGCTAGGGCGTCTGTGTTGAGTGTGATAAGCTCTCGGTACTCGGGCTTCGAGTCATTTTGATAAAGTGACAGAAGTTTTTCGGTTGATTTTGCCAGGACAACTCCTGCTTTCGCCAGATTAGATTGGTTTGTGCTGGCGCGAAGGTCCAACTGTTTTGCAGTGTGGTCTATTCTCGCCCAGACTTCTGGGTTAATGCGTGGCGCCACGTACAAGTCTGTCACAGTTGTCTGGGCGGGGGTATTGATCCCGCTTTTCTTTCAGCTTTTGATCGCTCAGTTTTTCAGACCAACGCTTATTGATTATGGTGGCGAGTTTCTCTGTAATAGCCGGGCCCACATCGTTCTCCTGAGAGAAACCATTTTCAATTTCTGACAGCAATGAGTCATTGCAATTGTCAGTGACAGTGTATTGCTCGAGTCGAGCGTTAAATTAATGGTTTGAGAGCTTTCTGCCGAGTCGGCATTTGATGGGCCACAAAGTGCCCGAGTATCTTCGTCGCTGCTCTGGTTTTCTTCTACTTCCTCAAGTCCAGATGTCTGTGTAGCCAGGCGAGGTTTCTTTCGTTTCGCGGGAGGTGTCTTGTCTTCGTGGAGACGTTTCAGCGACTTTTCCATGATTGAGCCAACCATTGTATGTAAGGACTGGTTTAACCGTAGAAAACTGCTTGATTTCGCCGGTAAGTTGTCATTCTCGTTGGATCCGTCGATGTCCACTTCGACAAAGAGGTCGTCTTCCTCACTTTGACTGGGCGATACTTCGGCAGTCCGTTTTTCTGAATCGAAATTCTCCATAAATAAAACTTGCAACTGAATACTTTGAACGACACGTGCAAAAGTGAATACTCGATCTGCGCATGCATATCTCATGTGACTCCCTAGTGACGTGACTGATGACGAAATAGAATCAAAGAATTTCGTGCGAAGTAAAGATGTAGTATTCTATGAAAACAAGTTTCATGATTTTGAAGTAGTCACTATAAAGAGTTAATCATACGAGAAGATGTTCCAGAAGAGAAATTAAGTGTCGATCATGAACAATACCATGATGCTGAAGATCAAGTCCCTTTACCTACTGTACCTGACATTGAGGACGAAGAAAATTTACCAGCAGTAGGAGAAACATACGAAGAAAGTTTCGTGAAGCAAGTAGAAAATCTCGAGACAAAGAGACAGAGAAAAGCACCAAAGAAATTTAGTCCAGACGAGTGCAATATTACTGAATCCTTGACTGCAGAAAACGAAGAGCCACAATCAATAAGTGAAGCCTTGAACGGTGCAAATGCAAGTAAATGGAAACAAGCATTAGCAGAAGAATACAATTCGCTAATTAGTAATGAAACATGGGAATTGGTACCACCACCAGAAGGGTGTAATGTCATTGGATCGAAATGGGTGATGAAAAACAAGCGTGATGCAGATGGGAATGGTGACTGACATAAAGCACGACTTGTTGCCCAGGGATATTCACAGACACCCGGAATCGATTACGAGGAAGTCTTTTCACCTGTTGCAAGACATTCCAGTATAAGAACGCTATTAGCTTTGGCAAACAAGCACAACTTAGAAATTCATCAGATGGATGTCAAGACAGCATTTTTAAATGGCTACATAGAACATGATATCTACATGTCCCAACCGGACGGATTCGTTGACTAAGAACATCCAGAATACGTTTGCAAGCTTAAGAAGAGCTTATACGGACTTAAGCAATCAGCGAGGTGTTGGAACCAAACACTCCATAGTTTTCTGACGAATAACGGTTATAGAAAGAGCAATGCAGATAATTGCATTTGTGTGAAATCCATAAAGAATGACAATGGATTCATAAATTTTGTGGTTTTGGCTGTGTACGTTGACGACATAATTCCTATCTCAAACGACATCAACATGTTAAACGCAGAGAAGGACTTGTTATGTAAGCATTTTGAAATGACGGATCAAGGAGAAATTCACTTTATACTCGGAATGACAATTAAGCGTGACAGATAAACCAAAACGCTATTCATCAGTCAACAGAAGTATCTAGAGAGCGTGTTGGACAGATTTGGTGCGGCTAATTGCAAACCGATCTCTACTCCTCTTGAAACTTACAACTTACCATAAGCGAACGGAAGAGGAAGAAGGATTCGATAAGAATTTATATCAACAGGCTATAGGATGTTTGACATACATCTCGACAGCGACAAGACCAGACATTTCTGCTGCATTTAGTATATTGTCTTCATACATGTCAAATCCCAGCAAGGACATTGGAATGGAGTCAAAAGACTTCTAAGATACATAAAAGGAACTTTAAATTTTGGATTAAAATTTACGAGTGAAAATGATGATGAGAATGGAGACGAGTTGTATGGTTATTCTGACGCCAACTGGGCTGGAGACGTTGATTCTGGACGTTCAACCTCAGGTTATGTGTTTAAAGTTGCAAATAGTACCGTGAGCTGGTGTAGCAAGAAACAAGCGAGTGTGACGAAATCAACTACCGAAGCGGAATACGTAGCATTAAGCGAAGCAACGAAGAAGCAATTTGGATGAGGCGATTATTATCAGATTTTGGTTGTAAAAGTGAAGAACCCACCACAATGTACGACGACAACCAGGGAGCTATTGAAATTTCGAAGAACGGAAGATTTCATAAAAGGACAAAGCATATAGACGTCCGTTTTCACTTCGTAAGAGAAAAAGTATTATCAAATGAAGTTAAAGTTATCTATTGTCCGACTGAACATATGTTGGCGGACATAATTACAAAGGGATTAAATGAGAAGATATTTCAAAGACTAAGAAGCATGTTGAATGTTTGTTCATACTAAGTAAGTTAAGATAAGTTGACATTATCAAATATTTCAATAGGACACAATGACAAAATAATTATTAAGTGAGAGTGTTGAAATTAGTAATAATCATTTATATTATTGCATACATTAAGTATTTTGTATTAAGAGATATGATTGGACGGTGATCACATGACTTTCGAACACGTTGTTCTCTCTCCTGTTCCTATGTGTCGAAGCGAATATATTTTATTCATGTATCGTACGTAATACGTTTATTTTTCATATTAAATAACATGGTTTTTAACAGATTATGATCGGATGCCACCAACTATCAATGAAAACGAAAACTCATTTGACTCATTGCAAGGTAAGAAATGCCAGAACATATCCTATTTATGAAATAGGAGGCATGAAGCTATATAGGTGGATTTACTTGTGGAGGGGGGGGGAGGGGGCGGGAGAGGGACGTGCACACCTCTCCTAGTCTTGCAAAAAAGTATCCATGTCAAAGTCAAATAGTGAATTTGGCAGGGCATTTTTCAAACAAAACCACAAGATTTGGCTATTAGGGGCCAAGCAATTCTATATTAAATTCTCAACTTTTTCCAATTGGGTTGCTTAGCCATGATGAACTCTGGGTTAATAAACAAGTACATCCTGTTTTATGAGTACAGAAATTATACACAGCTCTAGCTTGCTTACAATCCCCCTGCCAGGTAAGGGTCCACCCCTGTGAAGCAATAATGCTTTTGAATGTAAGTAAATTTTTCTCACTATTGAAAATTTGATTTGTTACAATAGGTCACAATTCCATCACACCTTAAAGTTCAGGTTACTTATATACCATGTAACCAACTTTTTTTATGCAGCATCTTAGTTGCAAAATTTGCATTTGCCTGTGTGTGCCCACTCTTGGCTTACTTAACATTTAGCCAAGGCATTTAGTTACACTTTTCACAGTCATGTATGCCTTTCCATATCCCAATTCAGGAATGATTATGTACAAACAGTAGAACCCCTAAAACAATAATAAAAATTCATCAGATCATAAATTCCTAGAACATTGCAATGTCTTGAAATATTTTTTGAAAAAAATTCCCGTTAACTGCATAGAAAATGAAATTGTAATGCTGATCTTTGTAATGATGATTTTATTGTTGTTTATGGAGTTGCATGGATTAGAGATGACAGACATGTGTTAAAATTAAAGAAATTGTGGAATGTGTACATTTCAGAATTTTGTGATATTTTCAATTTGTTCAAATTACTTATAGATAATATAAACTACCAAACAAATCAAGTCCAGCCCGGAGAAACAAGTCAAATTGCTGTGATCCTTGATAAACCAATCCAGCAACTGCAAGTGCCCAACATTAACCAGACTGAAGCATCTGGACATGAAACTTCCAGCCAGCTGGAACAGATCAGGCATGTCCAACCTGATGACACTATTGTAGATATGACTCAGCTGTCCCAGCATGAACCATCTAGCCAAATAATGCAAAACAATCTGAGTCAAATGGACATGGAAGAACCACTTCCATTACAAGATAATGATTTTCCAAATTAGATAGAATTTAATTAACTCCTTAAAGTTCATTATTGAAGGCCCGAGGTATTGACCCATTAAAACTGTCATACTGTTTAATGCCAGATTATACTGTGATTTCCAGACAGTATAAAAGTAGCACAAAATCGGTATTTTTGAGCATTTGCCACCATAAAGAAAGGATGGCATTGAACTGTTTTGGGATCCACCCACCTCCCCTCGGCTGTGACACTTCCGGAGCTAGCTTCGCCGCACTCTACCTTTGGCTGAAAATTATTTATCCCCAATCTTAATATTCTTTCAGTTAAAGGTATTGTGCGGGGAAGCAAGCAGTGAGAATATATAACCATGCATGTTGTTTTGGGGACTTTTATAACTGGCTGTAAATAAAGGTGTCCCAGGAATTTTAACCCCCCCCCACAACCTTTCCCCCAGGGGGGGGGGGCAAAATTCAAAGTATTATTGGCCTCCCGGGGGGCGAAATTCCTAGGAAACTCGCCCTCCTTTGGGAAATTTGCCACCCTTTAGAAACTTCACCTTTTCTTTAGGATTTCCGTCCTCTGTTCAAAATTTCGCACTTCCTAACAGTTGCGTAGGATAATTGTTACATGGCTTTAGTCATTTGGAATCAGTATCAATTCCAAATTGTTACGAATACAAATTTACAATTATGATTATCAAAAGGCACTTATCGTACGCTTCACAGCACACCATGCATATTTTGCATTTTCGGTGTTAATCCTTAAATTCATTGTTAAAAAGTAATCACCGTGGCGATTATTGTAATTCAGTGGTACACTAAATATTTTCCAAATGCATTTATAAAATAAAAAAAAATATTAATTTAAAGTATTGTTAAAATTGTTTAGCATCCACGTTTTGTCGTTATTGGAAATGTATGGCTTATTCTTATAAGTTTGGGATAAATTTTATAAATACGTGTATATAGGATTCAGTGGTGGATTTAGGGCGGTGCGGGGGGGGGTTGCGCAACCCCCCCAGGTTCTGGTCAACAGGGGTGCATGGGGGTGGTGCAAAAATGACGTTTATCCTAATTCTAACCAACTCATGTTAAGGAATTCAGTTGCGTATCACTAGTTGACAATAGCGGAATAGCCAATATTAAATATTCTGAATTTTTAAATGTTTTGAGAATCTAAAAATTTTCCAGAATGTTTTCTCAGAATGCTGGAAATGCCATTTCAGAGACCGAAATTTAAAAAATTTTCTGGGGGAGTATGCGGACCACCCTAGAAATCTCGCGCCTTCGCCGCTCGTTTCGCCATTGGTTAGCACCCCCCCCCCAAAAAAAAAAAAACTTTGCTGGATCCACCAGTGATCGGATTCACCATCCACAAAATTTTTAAAGGTGGGTTTTTTCTCAACCTCGCAAGCCAGGGTTGGTTTTTCTCTCTTAATTGCCACATACTGTAGAGAAATTTACGAGTATCCTTGATCATGTAGTTGTGACTGGTGAGATATTTTTTGTATTGGCAGATTATAGAGATGTAATCATTGATGCACACGATGAGTTGGCCAACGATCATCAAGTTGAGGAGAACACTCAGACACTGACTTGATTTTCGGTTAAATTAATTGTACTTTCAGGAACAACAACCATATTTTCGGTTTCAATATCACCGACTGGACCGTCGGGATCTATGCCATATAAAGTTATGTCCCCGATATTGACACCAGTCACACCAATTTCAATAACCTCAGAATACCAAAGTGCAAGAGGCGAGATACTATGCATAGTTCGTAGTCCATGATGATTCCATTGGTTAACAAACTCATTCAGCGATGCCTGTATTGCTGGAAGATAAATATAGTGTAGGGCATATAGATCAAGCTCATCATGGGCGTCAAGAATTTCACTTTCTCCATGAATTGGAATAGATCTTTATAGTAGGCGGAACTAACTCTATTCACCTCGGCCCAAAGACGCTGGATTCTTTGGTTATGGACACTACGTCCTGCTATGAAGTCCCTCTGTTTAGACCTCTATTCGCAATCATAAATCGAGCAACATCTACATTTCCTACGCCCCTGTCCCCTCGTACGCGGGAGGGAAGTCCAATTTTTTGCGTCCCATTGACAAAACATTGCAAAACTGTATGTGCAATATTGTTAGTGAAAGAAACACTTCACATAGATTATAGCCCTGCTATATCCGTCAATACAGCCATGGAGGACAAATCTCCAGCTGATGAGTTTGTGGTTTGAATCAATGTGCCAGAGATGATTTGGTTTCCTTACATTATACAGACGCCTTTGGATAGCGTATCTCCGCCTTATAGCACGGTTAACAGGAGCAATCGTTTCGAATGCTTCCATAACTTTCCATCTTTGGATATGGATACCCCGAGCACGCAAAGCCCCTCGTACGTAAGTTTCGCCAGAGACGGGTGTCAATCTTAGAATATCTCTAATATTCCATTCAAGTTCCTGATTTGTGATGTCACTGTAAGTGTCAGCTATGCCATATTCTATTCTTCTTCTGTGAAGAGTTTTAGGACTCACACCCAAGCAACTGGCGATGGCTGTCCAGTTCATACCTGTACTGCGTAATACTTCTATGTACTGCATAATACTTCCATTTGCTCCGCTGTAATAATATACCTTCTCCTGCCTCCCGAGCTTGCAACTTGAGGAGGAATTCTACAATGCCTAGTCGTTTGGTCACTACATACACTAATCTGTGTTCGCAGCGCTTGAAGTTTTTCTCTCAATAAACTGAGCAAGTTTGCGATCAGGGGCGTTATCGCAACTTGTAGATTGTTAAGGACCAAGGAAATGGCCATTATTATTCGAATATATCCCTCAAGACGATCACGTAAATGCTCTAAAAAGTTGAAACTACCGGGAAATTCATTCCTATCAATTCGTTCTACACAATCCTGTAACGATAACAACAGATTTTCCAAATCTTCATCGTGCGCAATAACCTTTGAGACGTTTACTATTTCTATGAAAACAACAACAATAATGAAATAAAGGAGCTTCGCCATCTTTCTTTTCAAAATAATTGTGGAATAAATTCCTAAATGATCAGTCTCGACTTTAAATTCTCGAGTGTAAAAATATTCTCGACTGCAAAAAATATTCTCGAGTGTAAAAATGTTCTCGACTATAAAAAAAAATTCTCGACTGCAAGAAATAATCTCGACTATAAAAAAAGTTCTCGACTGCAAAAAATAATCTCGACTGTAAAAAAAAGTTCTCGACGGTAAAAAAATAATCTCGACTGTAAAAAATAATCTCGACTGTATAAAAATATTCTCGACTGTATAAAAATATTCTCGACTGTATAAAAATATTCTCGACTGTATAAAAATATTCTCGACCAGAAAAAAAATTCTCGACTACTTTTGTCCACTATGGCTTTCCATTAATGTCTACAACGACTTGCGATGAAGGGCTTACGACTAAACCGAAGCAAGTGTAATTTCCTTAGTACTATATTGTCATTTTTCGGACAGGTCTTTTCGAAAGAAGGTACTCATCCTGACCCTAGGAGAGTAGCTGATCTATTAAATGCACCTCAGCCAAATAATGCACATGCAGTCAGGAGCTTTCTTGGCATGGCCAACTATAGTAGTAATTACATTCGAGATTTTGCAACACTAACTGCTCCCCTTCGTGACCTGACGAAAAAGGTCGGATGTTCGTTTTGAGTGGACTCAAACACACCAAACTGCTTTTGAAAAGCTGAAAACACGCTTGCAATTGCTCCATGTATGTCATATTTCGACAAAAACAAACAAACTTTTGTAACAGTTGATGCTAGTCCTGTAGGAATTTCTGGAATTCTTTCTCAGAAACCAAGAAACGGTGACGTAGACAGTCAACAGATAATTGCATATGCCAGTCAAGCGCTGACTGATACACAAAAGAGATACTCCCAAACTTTAAATCTTTTAAGGTTTTAAAACTCTAAGCATGCAAAGCATAATAAGAGCATCATTTAATCATTTTAGAAATCATATATGTGGCCCAATTCTTAGAGACATGGTAAATATCTCCTTACATGATAATTTATAAATCAGGTGCCAGCAACCCTGCGGACTATCTTTCTCGTCATCCAACAAACGAAAGGAAACGAAAACAGGAGAAGATGACGGAACAATAATATATTAATTTTATAACTCAGAACAGTGTCCCTAAGGCGATGACATTACAAGAAATAATCAATGCAACTAACGCAGACGCGGTACTAACGGCACTTCTTGATGCAATTAAAACAAACAAATGGCCGATTCCCCAATTGTAAAACCGTTCAAAGCCGTAAAAAAGAACTTACGTCAACCACACACGGTGTTATACTTCGAGGAACACGGATTGTCATTCCTGCGGCTCTACAACAACGTGCAATAGATATAGCACATGAGACACACTTAGGAATAGAGAAAACGAAGTCTCTAATTCTTGAAAATATCTGGTTTCCGCAAACTGACAACCAAGTCAAAAAAAAAATTGCTAAGTGCACCACTTGTCAAGCTGTCGGACAGGCGAATCCTCCAGAACCATTACGTATGACCGAAATGCCACAGTTACCATGGAGAACTGTCCACATAGATTTTTATGGTCCACTACCATCGTCTGAATATCTTTTAGTGGCGGCAGATAGATACTCCAGATTCCCAGAGGTTGAGATCGTTCATTCAACACGAGCCTCAACAGTCGTTCCAAAACTTGACAAAATGTTCTCAGTCCATGGCATTCCTGATACCATTATATCTGACAATGGTCCCCCTTTTAAGAAGACGAAGACGAGTATGTACGATATCTGAAAGCCCTTGGTATTCAAGCTAAGTTTTCAACACCCTACTGGCCCCAAGGTAATGCTACAGTTGAACGATTTATGCGACCGTTAGGAAAAGTGCTCAAGACAGTGACACTCGAAGGACGACCATGGAAACAAGAATTGAACCGTTTTCTTTTACAATATCGTACCACTCCACATTGCTCTACAGGAGTACCTCCATCAGAACTGTTGTTTAACCGAGTGATAAAAGGAAAATTACCAGTTACAAACAGCAAGAAGATTGTCAATCGACATAAAGAAGCTCGAGACAATGAGAAAACACGACAAGAACGCAACCGAGAATATGCAAATCAAAGGAGAAACACAAGAAAAAGTGATCTACAAGTTGGAGATTATGTACTGGTTGGACAAGAAAAGAAAAACAAGCTAACTGCGAATTTTAATCACAAACCGTATAAAGTGATAAAGAAAACTGGTTCAGAGATACTTGCCCAAAGTAAAGATGGTCATATTGTGAAACGGAACGTGTCACATTTCAAGCGAATAAATAAACCACGAGAAGAAGACATTGATGATGACGGTTTCGATTATGAAGAAAACTCGCAGGACAATCAACCATCCATCAGTAATGAAAACAACGAAGTACCAAGAAGATCAAGCCGAATTCGAAGACCACCGAATCGATACGGACATGAATATCCATCAAATCTAATAAACTAACATAACAATGAAATAGCTAAATAACTTCAAATTTAATTAAACACTTTGATATTTGACAATCAAGTTAAAACAAAGGGAATGGTATAGTAATGTACGTCTATTAATCATTAACGCATGTATTACGATTAGTTTATATTTAGAATATGGACATTATATATTCAGTTGTTTACATGTAGCCGAGAAATCAAGAAGTCTATTAAATATCAGAACATTATAGTTGTCATAACTTAAATGGTTGTCCAGTATTTTTGTATTATCAACATATGATTCTAGCTTGCAATCTTGAGATGCCCAAGGGAAATCATTTAGGTAAATACAAATAATAACAGCGATAAAATGGCCTCTTGAGGTACACCATGGGTGATTGTCAATAAATCCGATATAGTAGTGTTTATATACAGGTTGATTGAGAACGGTCTGTTAGGAAACTTCTGAACCAATCTACTGTTTCTTTGGAGGCTCCAACATTCGCAAATTTGTGAAGTAATCTCTGATTGTTAATGCTATCAAAGGCTTATTTGAAAGATCCAACAATACTAAAGCTGCAAGTTTCTTTTCATCCATGGCCTCTAAGATGGTATCAGTATGAAAGTATTTAGCGCCTCTGTCGAGTGATGCTGCTTATTACCACTTTATACGACTGCTCAAGACATCTATAAGTGAAACTGGGCGATTATTAATTGATGCAATTTCGCAGTCTCCTTCTTTATGAATAGAAATCATTCCCACTTCCTTCCACGCTGAAGGAAATGTAGACGTCAGGATAGAACAGTTCATTATTTTTGTTAGAGGCCCCAAGATTACTGGAAGACAGTCTTTAATAATCCGAGGACTTATCTTATCTGGTAACGACAGGATAGTCCGACTCACTTCGTCGCAGATTACTGTTCTAAAACTAAATCGACCGATTTCGGGTATAACAAGAGTTTCAAGTGATTCATGTAGGCTGATGTTATTAATTTCAGCTAAACATGCAGACGAAAAAAATGCATTGAACTCATTTGCTATAGATTTAAGTTCGCTAATGTATAATATATCTCTCTTCCTCCAATCAATGGTATAAGACGATTGATAACTTTCCATAAAGATTAGATTCACATATGCAATAATTTATTGCAACTAACGTTAATGTACTGTTTAATAAACGAGCAGGAATGTTTTATTTGATTTAAAGACACGAGCGCGCAGCGCGAGTGGCCTTAGACCTAATAAAACACGACCTGCGAGTTTATTAAACGGCTTCAAACACGATTACAAATTCAATAGATATACTGCCAGATTATAGTATTCTTTATATAAAGAATACTAATGAGGACACGACTACAATAGATACTGCCTTATTAGTATTCTTTATATAAAGAATACTAACTAGGAGTGTTTTATCAGGTTTAAAGCCACTGCACGTGACATATTATGGTTGACATGATTTGCCAATAAGCTTATGAATTATTAATGAGTGTCTGAAGTTAACGTTAACAGCTGTTAGAGTCCTGTACTGTAGATTGGATCAAATGACTTTCCCCCATTACCTTATTTTCAGTTGGTAATACAATACGGCGTATATTACTTCAATATAGTTACCTGACTCTGAAGTTCATTTAAAACATTGTCCATTGTATTTAATAATGTCATTTTCCGATAAATCTTTTCAATGACGTCTCGACCTAACTGCAATAAAAAGGATCATGCCCCCATCACTCTACTTTGAATATTGCATTTCAAAAATTGGGAGGTGCAATTTTGATCACTATATACTGATAATGATAACATGCATGTCAAATTTGGATTACCTATTGTATTAATTTCCACCATCCGTCCGACCTGAAAATCAGTTCGGGCGGGGTGACGGGGTGAATCACCATCCGTCCACATGCAAATGTTTTCTTTATAAATTATACTTCAGCACAAAATATGTATATCCGTGGATCATGCATAACGAAGGACTTTGATTACAATGCGCCAACTGGCGCTTTTTTATGAACAGGTGAGAAAAAATGGTGGAGTCATGGCCAGAAATCAAGGAAATGATTATTCTATTCCTTAATTACTACCTTTGCATAGCATTAATTTGAAATATGGCTTCGGAAGTAAACAGTAAATTATATTAGACGATGCTTTAAATCGCAAAATAGAGAATATTGGTAGGTCGTTTGCAATTTGCCTCGATTGCTGGTTGCAGAACACGGTTTATTGACATATATCGTGCAATGTTTGCCTGGTGTAAGTTTACTTACTGCATGCCTACCATATTCTCTGATTTTGGGATTTACAGCATCACGTAATATAATCTACTGTTTACTGCAGAAGCCATATTTCAACATGATATGCAAATGTCTGTAATTTCCGGCCATGTCTTGAAATTGAAGCGCAGGTTACTAAAAGACTGCATGATTTTGCCGATGTGCCAACAAGAAAGAATGTGATAGATCAGTATATATATATATATATATATATATATATATATATATATATATATATATATATATATATATATATATATATATATATATATATATATATATATATATATATATTGAGTGACTATTTCGCCCATAAATCATTTCAGAAAACGTAGAAGCGCGTAAAAGCACGAAACGTAGAAGCAAAATTACTCTTGAAATGTATTTATAATGTTGTGATTCAAACAACATACCGATTGTCCATTCTGTTTATTCGTTATCTCACCACTACGATTCATAACTCGATATACAGGAATTTTGCATTCATCGTGCGCTCCAATAAACTTTAATTTGTCAACGAACTTTGAATATCTCCGAGAAAGATGAGCAACATCATCATCGCCAACCAGTGTAGTTGACTTTTCATGTTTCCCTCTCGAGAAACACTATAAAAAAAAAATTATAACCATATACAGGGTATATCAAAATAAACGCAATTCATCTTTTGTGCTTTATAACTTTCGAAATACTATTTCTAGTTAAACGCTTTTAGGCTTACTTCAAAGCCTGTTCTTTTCTCTTTCAAACAAACTATTATCCTTGTCTCCAATGCTAGTAATAATTGCACAGGAAAAGATTTGGTAAAACTTATCATTTTTAGTTGCTGTTTAATTATGCAAGTTTACTATGTTATTGTTTAGTAAGTTTAAATGTTAGAATTTTCTTCTTTAAACTTTAATGTTGTCGTCACTACATCTAGAAAACCACGAAAGAGACCAGGTTGTTTGAAAATCCTAAACGAATGCTAAAAATTGTCAAAACATTCTGGTGTCTGAGCCAGAGTGTCATCGAATTGCGATGTAATGTAAACAGAAATTATAGCAAGTTGATGTCAGTCAGCTTAGAT